TAACTATATATGGGCTATTTCATTCGTGAGCGACGTGACTTCGCAAGATCATAATGTGTATATCTTTGGATAATAAACTTTCCTAGAGCTGGTTTTTATATGACATATTTATGCCGATTTACTCTAACTACACTGAAAAAATCAGTCTTGTAGACCGTTGTTCATAGCACTTATTACTAAAAAGATAGCGTTAGAGATGTGACGCATAAAACGACATCGATTTTCACTCGATGCAGTTTAGTTTCAAAAATCTGCGAATTGAGACAGACTTTTTAAAAACTAAATGGTACATTCTGTAGATGACTCTTGTAGGTAGAGAATCTCTATCCAAAGTTTTTTCTTAGTATGTCTAGATTCTTCAAAAATTTCGATTTACTTTTCGTTAGGAACGTGATGGAGTACGAATGTGCGAATCAAAAAATGCTTGTATAAATGAACGAGACGTTCAAAATAAATTCTCACCTATACAGATTCTTCTTCGGAATCTTCAGATAATGGTAAGACAAAAATTCCTGTTTTCATGTTTGATGGGATCTCTAGAAAATCGTTTTTTAAGAAGAGTTTTTGAAATCCGATCTTGTTAAAAATTTCACCAGAGATATAATTTGTATCGTGAACTTTATGCTGAAATTTTTGAAGTCTTTTCTCTTATAGTTAGAAATATTCACGAATTACTTTTGAATTAATTATTTAATTAATTTTAATTAAGTGCCAGGTGAAAGAGCCAACATTTTTACATATGTCTATGGTAACAAATTTTATTCAGAAAAACCACCCTTATAAAGAATCAATGTCAAACGAAAGGTGAGTATATCCCGTTTTGCCTGAAATGGTCCATATATGCAATGTTGAGGAATTTGAGATGTTTTGGTGTAATTAGCTCATTACTTTACTATATAACTATATATTTGAAAAGTTGAAGGATTTGAGTTGCTTTGGTATAACCGTCTGATTGCTGAATACCTTGGTATACTTACTGTTTAAAGTTGTGTTTTCATAGTGGAAAATCTTCGGTTCATGTGATTTTATGCTTATGTTAGTTGGTAGAATATAAATTTATAGGTTCTCGTGATGATATAGGGATATATTTCGTGAACCGAGGGCTGTGGATACTATTGATTTAATCATGTCTTTGGATGATACCGTTTGGCATACTTCATGTATGCGTTTCATTTGTTGTAGTTTTAAAATTGCAAAGCAATGGATGGATTGGGTCGTCGTAAATATCGATGGTGTGATAGGCATAGCTTGTGCGTCGTGTGATGTAGTTCGACTTTGTTTGCTGAAAGAAAGAAGACTAAGGCTACAATTCTGTCCTATCTTGTAGAACAGCAAAGCATCCAGATAAGTAGTATTGTTTGGAATGTATCCAGAAATACTGTTTAAGACGGCTATATACTTCAGTAAGTGCGTGTCCTGTTTTTTTGATATTTTCTATCAGGATGTTGTGAATGGCAAAAAGTTCAGTGAATGCTCGAATCCCAAAAATTAGGAAACGTGGGGTGTCGACGCATTCTAAAACTCGATATTATCATTGCAAATACCGGAATGGACACAGTGGCCAATTTTTCATTTGTTATGCTTTATTTTCTTCACGTTATAGAATCGAATGGCAAACTCCATCATTATACTACAATAATTTTTTGAGTACTTCACGATTTTAGTGTACAAAGGTTCATTCTTCAGAAATTTTCAAGGATTCTTCCAGTGAAAAAACTATAATTTGAGTTGACTACTATTCAATAAGTCGATCATTCCGATTAGTGACTACATCGGTGACTTCATGAAGAACTGGATTTTGCGAAATATCAAAATCGCAATATACTATCTACAAAAAGCACTATCGATATACTGCTATAGTCACAATTTCTTATACCGCTAAATAATTATTTCGCTACAAATTTATTTTCTGACAGAAGATATTTACTTTGTGATATAACTAAATTCTCCGGCATATGATTGCACATCTTTACACTAGCCATTTGTTGTTACCTCTGTAGATACTGCGCTCACTTTCTCCTTGGTTCCTACCTCTACAGGTTTTCACTCTCACTCTCATCCCGTTGTTTATTCTCTCTAAAATGTTTTCCCTTCACTCACATCCATTGTACCGATGCAAAACCACTCCCACAGCGGCATCACATTGTATCGCTGCATAATGATTTTGTAGCAAATTGATATTCTTTTAAAGAATCTGGCTTTGTCTCAAAATCAAATTCTCCATTATATGATATTGCCTAATTTAAAGGTGTGATGAACAAAATGCTGTTACTATAATCACCTCCTAAGAACTTCCACATAAGCAAAAGACTCCAGCACATCCACAAGATCATGAAAAGTCAGAAGATTGTCGTCCTCACTCACACGCTGTGTATATGCCAAGAAGATTTTTCTCTCTCAGCCACATGCTGTGCCGTGTTGTTGCATCTGTTTTTCCTAGTATCTGAAAAAACACAGGCAAATGTCTCATCATGCGACGTCTGAATGTATTTATGTTGCAGCTCAGATCATAAATAATCAAATTACTTCGCTTGATTAGATTTGATTCAAAACTCTCTTTTTCTGTCTTAAGGATATTGGTACTTACTCAGATGCTGTTCAACTTTATCTTAGTCATTCGCCTGAAATACAGCGTTTGGAAGAATATCAATAGAGTTTGTTTCTTAACAAATGGGACCTGTCAAATTGAATAATTGAGGAATAATACAACAGAAACTTTTGCATCACGCGTTATGTAACATTGGTAGCTCGAATAATGCAGAAGCTTTCGTTTATTCCCAAGTGGCAACTCTGATCACACACACTGACACACATCATGTCTCTGAATAGAATGAGACGAAAAAACTATCCCATGGGATGCCATCGAACGTTTCTCTTGGTAAAAATTGTTTTAAAGCGTTGAATTGGTCTATGTGACTCTGGTGTTGAATTATATCAGTAGGAAAGAAAAGGGAATCCAGAGTACTAGGATCCTCTTGAACTTCAATAAATTTCTTACTGAATTTGCTAGAATCTACTGGAATTCATCACAAAATGGAAAGTTTGGCATGATCTGATATCCGCTTTTTCTGTTTGAAAATTTCAATTGCATTTATTTATGCACAAGGAAACAATAACGCTTTTTCTAAATGGGTCTGTATAGAAAGGATGAAATCGACATGTATGAATTGTAACGATAATATGTGATGACCATTATGACTTTTCTTCAGCGCATTTTTCATTCATGAATTTTTAGCTTCTGATGAGTTTGGTTGGTTTCCTCAGATTCCTTTGAATCAATGAAGATTCTTATGTATCCTAGTAGAATCCAGTGGATTTCTTCGGGCCCTTATGAACTCTGATGAATTCTGTAACTCGTAAGATTCAATAGAATTCTTCAGAGTTTACTGTCAACTCATTGGTTTTCTTTGTACCAAACCTTGTAAAAGATCGTCCTAAAAATTGATTTCAAGTAAAAATGATAAATGTTCCTTATGACTATAACTTTTTATTGATCTAGCCAATGATTATGGTCGGAAAGGATTAGAACATTTCAAGTAGCATAAAGCACACAGAAGTCCACGAGATTAGTTTGGATCTTTATTGTTTAAGTTCTGTAAAAATATTAAAAGCTCTTAGTGAAAAAGAACACAGCAAGAAGGTAACAAACATTCAGCGGCTGATCTAGAATGTTTGTAACTGAGCCCGAAACGAGGCGAGACGAGGCAGATACTTTACAAGGCATGGCAAGATAGAAACGTCAAGAGGCGAAGCGAGGTGAGGCAGCAAAAACTGGTCTGGTTTTGGATTCAGGTTCGTAAGAGAGGAGGGACGATGAGACAGTCACTCTCCGCCCTAAATCTATCGCTGCAAACGATGCTGTTTCTAATAAAGAAACAGATCTAAAAAGAGAAATATGAACAAATTGCTTTATTCAACATTCTTATAAAGTGCATTGAGCTCATATTTCCTCAGAAAAGAAACTTCCTTGTTTTTCACGAAAAACAGAAGAGAATCCCACGAGACAAGATATTTGTCCCATCACATTCGGAGCCCCGAAATACATATATGTGAACAGAAAAAAAAACAAAGAGAATAAAGGACAACAATAACTGAAGAGACAAGGAGAGAAAGAGAAACGAGGGTGAGAATAATGGTACTGTACTATGCTAACAAATATACAGCGTCTCATAATTTAAAAGAACTGCAATTTTTTCTCTGTTCTTTTTATGATGATGTTGAAGCAGATATTCTGTGTGCACATGCTAGCTTTGCATAAATTCCATGGTTTTGCATAAGTTCTTTATGCGTTCCCTAAACAAATATTACAACACGTCTTTGATTCAATCAGAAAAACTATCTTACTCACTTCTTCTTCCAGTTTGCCTCGATCCACAACAGCAATCTTTTCTGAATTTCGAATTGTCGATAAACGATGAGCAATAGTCAAACATGTTCGACCTGATCGAGCTTGGTCTAATGTATCTTGAACCACTTTTTCACTTTTGTTGTCTAATGCTGATGTTGCTTCATCGAGAAGAAGAATTTTTGGTGAACGAACTAATGCTCGAGCAATAGCAACTACATATCACATAAATGCCGATCATTACAATTTCATCAAAAAAATTTCTTACTTCGTTGTTTTTGTCCACCAGACAGTTGATTACCTTGTGGTCCACATAATGTTTCATAACCCTACAAATGAACAGTTATTATCGATTAAATAAAAAAGAATGAACAAACTTTAGGTAATGAGATGATTAACCCATGAATGTTCGCCATTCGAGCAGCTGCTTCGATTTCATCTTGCGTCACTTGTCGACTATTGTCACCATAAGCAATATTATCACGAATAGAAAGATTGAAAAGAACTGGTTCTTGTTGAACAAGACCCATCAATGATCGTAGCCATTGGATGTTGAGAAGTTTTATATCATGCCCATCAAGTAAAATTTTGCCTTTCAATGGATCATAAAATCGTTGCAATAATGCAATAATAGTCGATTTTCCACTGCCTGATGGTCCAACAAGTGCTGTTGTGCCGCCGGTTGGGCATGTCATAGAGAAACCTCTGAGAGTCCGAAGGTTTGGTCGATTTAGATATCGAAAATGAATATCGTGAAATGCAAGATTGCCTTGAAGTTCTTTCTAAAGATAAATTAACAATTAAAATTTTGATTTAAACAAATGTTTTTTGATTAATAATACCAGAATAATTCCTGAATCATCATAAGGATTTATTCGTGATTGTCGTTTGTTGAGTTGCATAATCCGTAACGCTGCCTCTTTTCCTTTTGAATAATCAGGAATCATAGCCATTGAATGACCAATATTTAACATAGCAAACGTAATTACGCCAAAGACTCTGTAACAAATAAATTGTATGTATGACTATATAGAAATAATAACATACTTTACCTGAAAACATCAACAATTTGCATCTCACGATTCTCGACAAGTTTGCTACCGTATGCAAAGTTTGCACTGTGAATAAAGTACATCATTGAATTCGCTATACCAGTACCCACTGCCATTCGATGCAGACGGCACATTTGTTTTCTAAATGCAAACATAATTTGTAGGATGAGTTCAATAGAAAAAAATAGTAAAGTTTCATACTTGAATTCTTGATTGAATAAATTTTCATATAGATCGATAAAATGTTGTTCTTGATGAAGAGCAACGACAGTGCGAATATGTTCAATAGCTTGAGTGGCGTACTAAACAAATAACAATTCCAGAATGATGGAAGTGCTCAATCTATACTGCTTTTTGTACATATACCTGTCCGCCTTGTTCCGTTAATGAACTTTTTTCTTTAGCATTTCCAACTCTGCCTTGCTTATGGCCCTGAATCGTTCCATTCAACACCATGAGGGGAACGAAGCACAGAATGATCAATGTTAATTTCCACCCAGATAAAAATGCAATAATGAGAGCAGTTACAGTGGCGCTTATTGCCTGAAGAATAATACCAATGCGAACACCAGTCAATCCCTGGAAACAATTTAACGGTTATTATTGTGTATAACGAGTGGAGCAAAAGTTTCGAATTAGTTTTCTTTCTTCTGTATTTCACAATGGAGAATCGGGAACTGTATTTCGAGAAATTCAATCATTTTAGCATCAAATGAAAGCTCTCATCACCAAACTAAGAAATTTAAAATTTGACATGCCTATAACGAGTCTTAAGGGAGATAATTGAATTT